AGCCGGAGGAGGTGCAGGCAGCCTGTAGTCCCAGCTACTCGCGGGAGGCTGAGGCAGGACGAATGCGGCGTGAACCGGGAGGCGGAGCTTGCAGTGAGCTGAGATCCGGCCACTGCCACTCCACGCCTGGGGCGACAGAGCGAGGACTCCGTCTCAAAAAAAATTAAAAAATGAAAAAAAATTAAAAAAAAAAAAAAATAAAAATAAATTAAAAAAGAAAATGGTTTTCCATTGGGATGAGTGGGAGAAGAAATAGTCAGGCCATGTCTTTATACTTTTGGAATCAAATATATACACATATATCCATGTGTATATATACACACACCAGATATATACACCATATATATTCATATACACATATGTATGTATACACACATATAAGTATAATATACATGCCACATATTATGTGTGTGTGTGTGTGTATATATATACTTGTTTTTTTGAGACTCGCGTCTCACTCTGTTACCCAGACTGAGGAGGCAGTGGCGTGATCTCCAGCTCACCACAACTCCACCTCCGGGTTCAAGTTGATTCTCCTGCCCTCAGCCTCAGAAAGTAGTCTGGGATTACAGGCATGCGCACCCAGCCCAGTTAAGTTTTACTCACTATATTAGTTTTTTTTTTTTTTTTTTTTTTTTGAGACGAAGTCTGCACTCTGTCGCCCAGGCTGGATGCAGTGCGCCCCATCGTCAGCTCACTGCAAGCTTCCTCCGCTCCCGGGTTTACGCGCCATTCTCGTGCTCTCAGCCATCCGAAGCAGCGCCTGGATTACAGGACGTTCCGCCCCCTTCACCTGGCTAGTCTTTTTTTTTGTATTTTTTTAGTAGAGAGGGGTTTCACCCGTGTTAGCCAGGAATGGTCTCGATCTCCTGACCCTCGATGATCCGCCCATGTACGGCCCCCAAAAGTGCTGGGATTAAGGCTTGAGCCCAACCGGCGCCGCCCAAGTTTTTTGACTATTTTTATAGAGGTGGTGTTTCTATGTTGCCAAGGCTGGTCTCGAACTCACTGACCCTAAGGTGATCCACCCATTTTGGCCTCCCAAAGTGGCTGGGATTACAGGCGGTAAGTCCACCCACATCCGTGCCTGAATCAAATAAACATTTTGAATAATGAAAATATAGACTATAGGCGGGCGCGGTGGCCTCACGCCTGTAATCCTAGCACTTTGGGAGGCCGAGGCGGGCGGATCACGAGGTCAGGAGATCGAGACCATCCTGGCTAACATGGTGAAACCCGTCTCTACTAAAAATGCAAAAATTAGCCGGCGAGGCCCGGCGGCGCCCTGTAGTCCCCAGCTACTCGGGAGCGCTGAGGCAGGTGAATGGCGTGAACCCGGGAGGCGGAGCTTGCAGTGAGCGAGATCGCGCCACTGCACTCCCAGGCCTGGGCGACTAAGCAGAGATCTGTCTCAAAAAAAAAAAAAAAAAAAGAAAATATAGCACTATAAAAAGGATGAAGAAAAAAAAAGAAACCCCCAAATTTAGTAAAAACCAAAATAAATAAACCTAACCTAACCACGTATCAAATTGTTAAATGAACCTAACCTGACTATAATGGTTAATTTTATGTGTCAACTTGACCAGGCTAAGGGATACCCAGAGAGTTGGTAAAACCTCATGGCAGGGTGTTTCTGGAAGAAATTAGCATTTGGATCAGTGGCCCAAGTAAGAAGATCCACCCTCACCACAGCGGCCAGGAATCATCCAATCTGTTGAGGGCCCAAATGGAACAAAAAGGTGGAAGAAGGACAAATTCTCTCTTCTTGAGCTGGGACATCCACCTGCCTTGGACATTGGAGAAGGGCAACCTGGTTCTCAGGCTTTTGGACTCCAGGACTTACACCAGCCGCCCATCCTACACTTCTTGGGCTTCAGGATGGGAGCTACACCTCTCGCTCCCCTGGTTCTCAGACCTGCAGACTTGGATTGAATTAAATTATATTGTAAACCAGTGTATTGGGTTATACACTGGTTTGGGGTATTGAGTTTTACACTGGCTTGAGTATTCAGTTACACACTGGTTTATAATACACTGGTTTTCCTGTCTCAAGCTTGCAGACAACAGATCACAGGACTTCTTTCTCAGCCTCCATAATCATTTGAGCCAATTCTCATAATACATTTCCTCTTTTTTTTTTTTTTTCTGAGATGGAGTCTTGCTCTGTCACCCAGGCTGAAGTACAATGGTGTGATCTTGGCTCACTGCAACCTCCACCTTCCGGGTTCAAGTGATTCTCTTCTCTCAGCCTCCCAAGTAGCTGGGACTATAGGTGTGTGGCAACACGCCCGGCTAATTTTTGTATTTTTAGTAGAAATGGGGATTTCCCGTGTTGGCCAGGCTGTCCTTTTGTATATATCTATGCATATCCTATTGGTTTTGTTTCTCTGGAGAAGCCTATAATACACTAACCTAACCTAACACAAAAAAACACCAATTAATTCAAATAACTTTTGAACACAATACTCTATTTTTCTCTCATGGGACATACTCTAAAGGACAAAAATAGCTACAAAGAGATCTTGAAATTTCCATAGTAGGTCTGTTGTTAATAGCAAGATTGCCACAGTACCTCTGAAACTATTTGGAGGGCATTTTAGAACAAACCAAATGAATAAATATATTGATTTACTGACAATTAGGGTTCTCACTGTGGACAAAGGAGGTATTAGATTGAACCATATAGGTTTTGTCTTTTTTTTTTTTTTTTTTTTGTTTTGGAGACGGAGTCTGGGCTCTGCTGCCCTAGGCTGGGAGTGCAGTTCGGCGGATCTCAGCTCACTGTGAGCTTCCGCCTCCCGGTTTTACACCGGGATTCTCCCTGCCCTCAAGCTCCCGGAGGTTAGCTGGGATTACAGGCCCGGCCCGTCACCTCGCCCGGCTAATTTTCTTTTGTATTTTTTTTTTTTTTTTGAAGGCGGAGTCTTGCCTCTGGCCGCCCAGGTGGAGTAACAGCTTGGCCGGATCTCAGGCTCACTTGCAGGCTCCGCCTCCTCAGGGTGTCACGCCTTTTCTCCTGCCTTCAGGCCTCCCGAGTAGCTGGGACTTACAGGCGCCCCGCCCACCTCGCGGCCAGTGCAGTTTTTGTGATTTTTGGAGGTAGGAGACGGGTTAGGGTTCAGCCGTGTTAGCCAGAGATGGGCTCTGATCTCCTGAACCTCGGGTGATCCGGCCCCATCTTCGGCCTTCCCAAAAGGTGGCTGGTTTACAGGCTTGAGCCGCCGGCCCGGCCAATTTCTGTAATGGTTTTTAGTAGGAGGACAGGGTTTCACCGTGTTAGCCCGGAATGGTTCTCGATCTCCTGACCCTCGTGATCCGGCCCGTCTTCGGCCTCCCAAAAGCTGCTGGGGGCTGGGGTATTACAGGCTTGGAGCCAACGGCCCCGCCCGCCCGGTTTTGTCATTTCGTTATAGATCAAAATGATTTAAGCTGGGCCCGGCAGAGCTTTCACACCTATTAATCCCAGTACTTTTGAGAGGCGGAGGTTGTGGAGGACTCACCTGGAGGTCTGGGAGTTTTCAAAGACCAGCCTGGCCAATCATAAGCGAAACCCATCGCTTTACTAAATTACAAAGATTTAGCTTGGGATGGTGGCGAGGGTGCTTGCTAACTCCCAGCTATTCAGGGAGTGCTGAGGAAGGAGACATTGCTTGAAACCGGAGAGGTGTGGTGTTGCATTGAGCC